GTTAGAAGGCTCTCTCAGTGGATTCTGCGTCTTTTTTCTCCCAATCTCTCAGGTTTTGTAAGGTTTCCAATGTCTTCAGATCTTTTCTGTGTGATGTATGGGCGCGAGTGCAAGTACGGAGCTCCTTACTTCTCCGCCATCTTCTGAATCAACCAGTGACTTTTAATTTCTATAGGGAAACCCAGAAATGTGGCCCAAATCTCTCTGATGTTTTCTTCTGTCATAAAATGTTAGAACACGCAGGAAGGGCTTGAATAGTGTATGATCTGTAAATAACTTTGGTGATAATGATTGAAATACATGCATTGCTCGGTTGCATGCAACGCATCAAACTGTTCTGAGTCCTTTTTCTCCTACACAGAACCCAATGCTATAACTTCACACCCACAGAACCAAATTTTACTTTATAATATTTTGAATCATTTGCTTCCTTTGTAATTTATTTGCATAGAAATTATGAAGGTCTACAAAATATGGGAAACACTAATAATAATTTTATGCTACACACAAGACTTGGGTAGAAATTGAAACTTGTTTTCAGCTTTATTGACTTCATGTCTATTGGCTTCTTTAAAAACTTTTTTTGTGACAGATGCAGTTTGGAACTTTTCACAATTTTAAAAAATATACATAGCTTTGAAAAGTACATAAGTCTAATATCTGCTGAACCATTCACTCATCAGCCAGATCTTCCCTCTTTCCCTCCCATCAGCACCTGCAATGTTCTTAGAGTCTTGGGCTGAACTCACAGGACAGTATGGACAGCAGACTGAGCAAGCCTCTTGCTGTGAAGCAAGATGGTTGTCACAAGAAGTCCTTTCTAGGGGATGTTCAGAGACTGACTATGACAGACTGCATGGTCCAAAGATGGACCCAGCCTTGTCTTCATCCCACAATCCCACATGCCTCTCTGCTCAGTGGTCTTGGCTTCCCCATCATGAGGTAGGGTTTCAGCCCCTCCCTGGGTCCCTGGGCTATTTCTGGTGACAGGCTCCAAATACAAAGGTTTCACTGGGGACCAAGGCCAGGTCATAGGAGCCTGGAGCTCCTCAGGGACGTACTGGCACCTGCTCTTGGTACTTGCTGTCAGAGCAGCCTTCAAGCTATGGGAGCCCAAGCAACGCGGAGGCCTGCACAGGCGCACTGGTCAGCAGCCCAGACAGAACACACCTGCATCTAGGACACCCCACCAGTGCACCTGCATGGACACCAGTCCAGCCAAACCTACAGATGAGTCCAGCTCCTGGAGAGACTTCCCGGGAGAATCACACCCCTGAGCCCAGGTGGGAAAAGGGAGAGATGGTTTTTGGGGGGCTGCTAGGACCAGGAGTGTGTTTAGAGTAATAGATAACCAGTCTCTCCACTGCTTCCCCTGGGGTGCCCCCATGTCCTAAAACCCCAGTGTGGACCCAGCCTCATCTCCCCACACTCTCACCTCACTCTCTTCCCACGTTTTCTAGATGAACTTTCTCTTTTCTCCAGGGTTCTGAGCCTGAGTCTCTGCTCAGAAACCTGTCTTTTTTCCTGTGCCACTGACTGGCTCCTCTGGGTTCACGTCAGGCATCTCTTCCTCCTGCTGTTCTCAGCTACCTTCTCCTCCTCCCAGCACCTGCTCCTCCCAGCAGTTGGGGATGTGTCTTCCACCAGGTGATGGCTGGGACCCAGTGTGTGCTACATCAGTTCTGGTTGTTTGAATACACGTCCCCACTGAGAGAAGGGATTCAGCTCGGGAGTCCCCACATCTCCTGTGACTGCTCCTGACAGTACTGTCAGGAAGCCCACAGAATTTCCCTCCAAACACCACATTTGTCATTTTAGGTCAAACAGTTGGAAATGTAAATAGCTATGAGGAAAGGCCACAGCAAGGGTCCAGCATGACACGTGGCCCAGTACAGGGGGACATGACCCGAGGTTCAGGGGGCCTTGCAGGCTGAGATTCCCCTGTCTTCCACCTCATACATTCATGAGGACTTACAGAGCCTCTTAACTTCATACTTCCACCTTCTCCTTAAAATTCCTGAGTGGGAACTTGAGAATTGTAAACACTCAGAGCAAATTAAACTATGTGCTTCTTTATCCTGCAGACTATAAGTAATTTGTCTTCTTTTAATAAAATCTGAGGTTAGGTAAATTCAACCTCAGATGATCACTTTGGATGCCGTCACCTTTCTGCCACCTCTAAAGCCCCAGTACTATTTCTGAATCTACACCTCATGTCTAGGGGCTTACCCTCAACTGTTGTGGACCCACGACACAAATTTCTGGCAATCCACTGTGTTCAGTCCTTCCTCACCTGCTAGTCACTAGCAGGTGGAGAAGATGCACCCAAAACTGACTCTATTACATCTGTCCTGTAACTTAGCTGGGTTGTAACTATCTAAGGTCAAAGGACCATGATCTCTAATGCACTTTTCTATTATGGAAATCCTATGTGATTTTCTAAAACGTGAAGTTTTTTCCTTATTAAAATAGTATACCTTTGTCCTTATAGATCATTGGTCACATTTTGTTCCATTGAAGGGTTGAATAAAACACCGTGAAGAAGCAGCTGATATGAGATGTGCATATTTTCAACCAAAAGAGCCAAAGGCCACCCAGCCATTCCCATAGTTGACCCCTGGCACATTCAGTTATTTCCTAGAGCCCAATCACATTTTTGACTCTACAAAAAGTTATTAGAAACTTCCCCACTACCACTTCATGTTTCCTTTTGCCTCAAAAAGTGTCATTTATTCAAAGGAAAAGAAAAAAGATGGGGCGCCTGGGTGGCTCAGTCGGTTAAGCGTCTGACTTCAGCTCAGGTCATGATCTCACAGTTTGTGGGTTTGAGCCCCACAACAGGCTCTGTGCTGACAGCTAGCTCAGAGCCTGGAAACTGCTTTGGATTCTGTGTCTCCCACTCTCTCTGACCCTCCTCTGCTCATGCTATCTCTCTCTCAGAAATAAATAAAAACATTTTTAAAAAATGATAAGATGTCCATTTCTTGGCTCCCTTCCCTCCCCCCCTCACTTCTACTTTAAATTGCTTTATTTTAAAAGGTAAAACTTCATATATCCTTTTAAAACAATAAAACTTAAAAGTATTAGACAAGTCGATCATAAAAGGTGTTTATAGTAGGAATGAGCAAATTAGTAACATTTTACCAGTGTAAAATATCACAGAATCAAATCACAACTTGGATCCTCAATAGTTCAAGTGTTTTATCCCACACAATACAGTGTGACAGCTTTAAAATAAAATTCATTTTCTGGATGTTCTGTTGCCAATCAAGGTCTTCTTCCCACCGTCATCTCACACGGCAGGAAAGCTGGCCATGGAGGCGATTCCACAGTGATTGTCCCGGTCTTTGGCCATCATGATGTAGCCACCCATGCCCCAGTCAGTGCCCCAGCTGAAAGAGAGAGACTTTGCCATTTTATTCAAATAAATAAAATACATTTGTCTTTATTAACAGTGAGACCTGATACTGAGCAGTGCACCAGAGGCCAAGACAGATTCAGAAAGAATTAGGAGAGGCTGTTCTTGTTCATGGTTTGAGTCTAAACCTGCACAGAAATTATTCCTCCAACTTTTCACAAGACTGCAAGATGAAAGACAAGAAAAGGAAACTCTCAGGACAAGATGTGTTTCAGAAATAAGAAAATTTTCAAATTTATAAATGCAGTGGTACCAAAACTCTAGCAGGACCCTAGCAAGCTTAAGACAGTACCTTATTAGTTCCTCCTAAGTGGGGTAAAGACTTCTGCTACTTCAGCAGTGTGCTCAAGGGTTTGAGCCCTACATCCAGACACTAATTCCAAAAAGGATTCTCTTTTCAATTTCAAAGATAAGTATTTTTGGCCTTTTATACCTGTTCTTAACAATCCAGTATTTTTTGTTCTCTGCCTCTGTTCCGTCAGAGCCATAGCCAACCACCAGAACACCATGATCCAGGTTTTCACTGCTACAGTTTGGGTCATAATAAATGCCTGGAAAAGTAAAATTCAATGCTGGGATGACATGTGGCAGTGACCCAGCTTATCATCCATGGTGGTAGGCATCTCAAACTTCAGTTAAGTAACATAAACCCAGAGAACTTTTAAAAACAAGATTCTTTAATATGCTAGAGATTTAGGTCCTCATCTAATGCAACCAGATATACAAATTTGCACAAACTCTTTTCCAGATAACTTGCCAAGAGCCATAAATGACCACTTATTGACACCTTGTCAATACTTTAGGATGTTGCCCCAAGGAAACAGCACAAAATACAAAATTATTTGAGCCAAGAGGTTATTTTTCTAGTTTCAATTATAGTAGTACAATTATTTGGAAACTCTGAAAGGTCTAGTAACTGGAAAAATGTAAAGTAAATTGAGCTATACCAATCAAATTATGTAGGTATTTAAATATATTTATGATGGGCTTAAAATCATGAGGATATGATTCAAGTAATGTTGCATGGAAACAACAGACACAAATACTACATGTACAGAATGAGCAACCTTGTTAATCAACACACTCAAAATTATAAATTGTTTTCTAAATACCTACTAGTCAATTATGCAGTACGTCATGGTGGGTTTCCCATTTTTCTACCTAAACTTCCATATAGACAGATGCTTACCTTCTTTATAGAAGCGGAAGGTATCCAGGCTTGAGTCTATAGCAGCAGAGGTGGGCCCCACAGCTGCCAATGTGTTCATAAGTTCATTCTCCTTACTAGGGATGTCCCAGTAGTCAGTGACACTGGCAACAGAGTTCTCAGGCTTGTATTTGCAGGATTCGCCCTTTCAAAGGAAAAGGGGAATAGACTTGATTACTACCATCCACGTCCTGGGGAACATGAGTTCAAGACAGTTTGAAACTTACTGGAGTCCAGTCAAATTTGTTATAATGCATCCCAGTATCTGAAATTCTATTGGTTGTTTTGAAATTGAAAAATCAGCAGGTGTCTATTCAATGACACACTCTCGGTCTTCTTGTCCATAAGAAATGTTTCTATCTGGAGAAATCCATGCCAGTGTATAGAATGGTATACTGTACTTATCTGCACACAACACAGAAGTAGGGACAGCTACATGGTAACCATCAAGGCAGAGACTGTACCAGACTAATACATTTTAATGACAATTCTGACAGTCTGCAGATACAAAGTCCACAATCTAAAATGTGAATATAAATATGGTATCTGTTGTCCTTGAACCTGTTCAACTTGGATAACAAGATAAGGAGCTCTGTTTACCTGTGCATGATATGGATAGGATTGCTCTGAGTCCAGACCTCCATTGTCCTTAACATACTGGAAGGCATCATCGATTAGGCCGCTATTGCAACCCTTATTGCCTTCAGGCTGAGAGCAGTCCACCAGGTTCTGCTCACTCAGTGAAACAAGTTTGCCAGTTTTCCGGAACATCTGTCCTTCAAGGGCACCAGTTGCACTAAAAGCCCAACAACAAAGACAATAACCCTGAAAACAAAATTGAAAATCTCTTAGTCTACAAAATAAATAGTAAGAGTTTGACAATAGCCCATAGAGGTAAAATTTCCTAAAATATAACAAACTGCATATTTTTTGTTCCTCAACATCCATAGCAAGGATACTAATTCATTTTGTCTTCTATTCTTCTTTTTTTCATGTTTTATTTATTTTGAGAGAGAGAGACAAATGTACAAGCAGGGGAGAGCAGAAAGAAAGGGAGACACAGAATCCAAAGCAGGCTGCAGGCTCTGATCTGTCAGCCCCAGTGTGGGCCTGAACCTTGAGATCATTGACCTGAGCCTCTTGAGAGGGAATATTTTCCCACCTGATTCTTCACGGGAGTTACATAGCCTTTCTCTCTCCAGTCCACAGATGATGGGATCTCAGCAAAGAAAGGTGCTTGGAACAGTTTCCCCTTCTTGTGCTTCTGGATTTTAAGGCCATTCATCACCTGCCTGAATTCTTCATTGGTCTTCAAGGAAAAGGAAATAGAATGTTGACAAGCATGAGATTTTTTAAACTACTGTGAGGAAAACAAACAAACAAACAAACAATACTGTGAGGATTCTGACAGTAACATAACACACATAACATTCAGCAATCCATGCCATGCTCACCATGTCACCAAAGGAATTCATTGCCATTGTGAAGCTGTGTTTCCCTTGGCTGTGTTCCCGATTGTGCTGTTCGATCATTTTCATATTCCTCTCCCACACTGCTCTCCTCCATATTTCATCCTGCAGAAAAACAAGTATCTTATCATCTTTGTTTCTATTTAAAAGCAAATCACCTGCACCAAGTGGATGTGCTCACAGAGAGGAGGAGAAACCACTCTCAGGAATGATCTGATGCCTCTGGAAGCTGTTCTACAGCAACCACACAGTAGGACGTATGCCCATGTTATGCACAGTCCCAGTGCCCTGCTTACTGCTTTGGTGAGATCAGCCTCAAGAAGCTACTCTGAGTTATGAACTCCCACCAGCATGAACATTCTCTGCAAGTGTCACTGGACAGTTTAGCTGTTACCAACCACACCATAGAGTTTCCCATGTGTTGCCTTCCACAGGGACCATTGTTCATCTATGCTCTGATAGAGTTTTGGAGCAGCTGAAGCTATTCCCAAGCAAAGGGCAGCGAGGAAGAGGGAAGGATGCATGTTTCAAAAACCTAGGAAGGGAAAAGAAACGAGTATCTGATCAGGCCAAACCGTCTGAAAAACCAACCTCCTTTTTTCTGAGATGTAAAAGCCACCCCGGTGAAGTAAAAACATTGAATTTATCCTCCCGAGGGTTTTCACAGGCTATGGAGAAAGGCTGACCTGCAGTTCTCCACCCCGCCCTGCGACCGCCCCCTCTTCCCCAGGACTCCTAGGTCCGGGCAGGGAGGGGCGGGCCCCCGCAGGTCCTGCTGCCGCCTCTGGAGGGGCAAGACCTGCTGACAGAGCGCCCTGGGAGCCCCAAACTCCCGACCCCCAAGGCTGGAGGCTACGCTGGTTCCGAGAATGTCCCTCCCAACACCCTGCTCAGATCTTGCTCTGGAAAATCACCTGTGACAGGTGCAGCTGTGCTGTGCAGTCACAGGGGTGGGTCTAGGGGGTTTCCCAGGTAGGAGACTGCACGTCCATTTAAGGCCCGGGATTCTGCCCCGCGGGCCCCGCCCCCACCTCCTGTTCCCGCCGCGATTGGTTGAGCTGATAAGTGGGCGGGACCTCCGTGGTTCGGGACTCCAGTCTTGCTTTCTGGCTGGGTTCATGCTTGACCTAGGGAGGTCTTACCTGCCTCCCCGGGCAGGTGAGCTGGGGGACCAGGAACAAGACTGAGGAGGGAGAGTGGAGTGGGGTTGTATGGCGTCTCCTTTGAGATCCAAATGAACTAATGAGCTGGCTAGTGGCTCACGAAAAGTAGTTCACAGGGAAGCCCAAATGGATTTTCAGCATCACCCTGCCTGTCCTTTAGTCACTGAATTTTTGGTAAACATCTCCTAGAGGACTGAGAACAAGATAATCTAGTCTAGTCTAATCCTAGAACAGGGTAATTCCAGGTGGGGCGGGTAGACGAAGCAGCTAATGCCCACCTTTGGATGTGTTATCACTGTTACAGGATGGGATGCTTTGGGTTTGGGAAGAACCTGGAGTGGACTGGAAATGAATACTCGGAACGCGATTGGACAAGGCTCAAATCTTTGGACGACAAAGGGGCAGATGGGAGGGGTGTCAGGGAAAGCGTGACATTTTGTAATTCTCCTGTCCTGTCTCCATCAGGGATTCTTCTTCCCTTTCAAATCTTTCTCAAAACAGACAGAAACGGCTTTGAGGGAGGAAATGGCTTACAAGGGGGGAAATGGCTTAAAGAAATGGAGGAAAAGTAGAATCTAGAAACTACATTTACCTCTTCAGTATCCAATCTGGTTTTCTTGAGATTTAAGAACTTTAAGAAAAAATAGCAAAACAGCGTTTATCAAGAAACCATGATTTTGATGTCTGACGACCAGTTTTGCTTTCCTTAGAAACACAATTCCACAGGTCTACACTGCCTACTTCTCTGGACCTACCTCTGTGACACACCCCAGTGATCTTCCTCACGTGTTGTCTCCACCAGTTCTTCACTCTGGGACAGCAGTGGTCAAAGGGATTTTGTACAAGGGCTCAGAGTCAGGACTGGGCCAGCATGGCCATTCTATACTTCTCCTGGCGTGGGGCCCCGGCAGGCTCCGCACATCCTCAGCCTCATTTCCTCAGTGGGGCCATTGGGCAATAACTAGATTTTCCTCAAAGGATTCTTATGAAGATTAAATGAGATAATACATGTCAGCCATGAGCATAGAGTAGGGCTAATTTAATACTGCTTACTCGTGCAGGCTGTTGAAAAGAAATCTACAGGCCCAAAATGGTGTCACTTAGGTTAAGGGCCCAAGTCAGGAAACCAAGACTTGATACCTAACCCAACTGCAGATTGAACTCCCAGCAAGGTAATCCTGAAAGAGTCAATTTCCTGGTCCATGCTGGGGAATTTACTGAGAATCTTTCATCTCCCCTTAGCAGGGCCACCTTGTCCAAACAATGCATTCTTTGCCAACCAATTCTCTTCTTCTTTTTATGCTTTCCCCCTCCCTCTTATTTATTTTTAAGATTTTGTTTTTAAGTAATCTCTGCATCCAATGTGAGCTTGAACTCGCAATCTGAAGATCAAGAGTTGCATACTCTACTGACTAGGCCAGCCAGGTTCCCTTCTCCTGTCTTTTAAAATCTTTCTTTGGTTTAGCTCATCTGAGTTCCCTTCTACTTGCCAGATGGGTTACTGATTCATTGATTCTTTAACAAAGCCAATTATATCTTCAAATTTACTTGGCTGAATTGTGCTATTTAACAGATTTGGTGGCAGGGACAAGCTCTGGAGTGAACTTCTGGCAGCATTCAGGGCAAGAAAAAAATCCAAGGCATGGTTTCAAGGTCTTCCCCTTTTCCCAATGCTGTGGATAAGCTCCTCTGGGTCAAAGCTCCATTCTGTTTGTCTCTATCTTTTGCCTTTGAGCTCCCAATTCAATTGGCTTTCCTTTATGGGGTGTGTCAGCTTGAGCTGCCGATGGTTACGCCGGGAGCCCAATGGCGTTGGCATGTTTGCTGGGAACCCCACAGAGCTGACAGAAGGATCTGCCCTGAGCCAACCCCTGCCTTTCATACCACATTCCTCAGCAATAAGTTCCCCGGGGAATTTGGTGGTGGGCCTTACTAGTGACAGGATGCAGTGCTGTTGATATATGAAAGTACATGTTTGTTTGTCCTATTTGTGTAAATAAAGAGTATTGCCAGCAGGATCTTAGGAGGCCAAAAATCTGCAAACATTGGTAGGTATTTAAAGGCTGCTAAAGCTCTGGTCACCTCAAGAAGGCTGCCATGATAGAACAAATTAGTCACAGAACAGGTTAGATGGACACTAGGTAACCCTCCAACCTCAAGAAAACATCTGTGCAATGAAATACACTGTAAAACACACACTATCCCCAATCCTGTTGCACCTCCCTCTTAGGTATTAGTTCCAATCCCAAATTGAAGGTATCCTTCAATTCTAAGGAGTCAGGTGTGCTAGCTTCCAGCACACCTGCTTATTTTGTGCCTAAAAACTATGGTCCCAGAAGTTATATTAGCAAGGTATATATCTTTCTAGATATCAGTAGGTATCAACAGATATCTAATAAAATGAAAAAAAATTCTTAAAAATAATCTAGAATTACAGTGGCAATCATGGGGGACGTTCCAGTTAGACCAGACTGTTCATTTAAGGAGTATACATGAAAGTCAGGGTTTCCAATCTAAATAAACAGAGTGGGGTACCTACTTTAATTCATATGCAGAAGTCTCCAAAAGGCTTCAAGATTCTAAAATAGTTGCATTGAAAGATTCATTACAAATGACTACTGGACAATTAGAAACATGAGAGGTGCTTAAGACCAAAGACTGTAAGACTGACTTATGTCCTCCACCTCCTTAGCCCTCTTTTCCCTGAGCTCTCTATCTGCTACTTTCCCACTTCAGGTGACTTCCCACCTGAAGAGAAAGTCATCTTTTTATAGGACACCACCTGAGATTACAGGTGACCCTCCTGAGATGCCTTTCATCCTTGGTTAAGGACTAAACTGAGGCCCACAGTTAAACATTTCATAAACACAGCAAGGATCCTCAAGAATTTTTGTTTGTTTATTTGTTTTATTTTTAAATAGATTACTCCTGAGCCCAGATGAGAGAAGGAAATAAAAGTTCACATCATCCCTTCCTTTCCAAGTCCAGACCCATCAGCTCTGAATCCTTTTTTCCTGGGAATAACTATTTCCTTCTGGTTCCTTTTGTTTTAATGAATATGGTTGCTTTCCACTTGCCTCAGCTCTCTCTTTGAGTGTCTTTGGGAGTGGCTCTAGATTTTGTAAAAATAGTCTCTTTTACACCCTCTTTGAGGATATCTCTTGGGTCCATGAAATCATTTAATACCATCAGAAATCTTTACGTGTTTTGGCTAAAACCCAACAAAATATTTATTTTTAATTTAATAGCTCTAATCAGAAATTTGGCCCCATTTGGCTCTGATATTCAGAGCCTGATAAAGTTTTGTTTTTTACCTTCTCCTTTAAGCAAAATGCACTCAGAGGAAAAGAAGACTTTCTCACAGGTGGATAGGTGGGTGTGTCAGTCCTTTGATATTATTTAGGCAACAACCCAATTGTTTGAGAAACTAAACACAGTTGTCCCTGTGAAACTGGGAAAAATAGTAGCGGAGAACAGAAGGCAGATTTGTTAAGCTACACGTAGGTCACTATTGATCACTGCGGCAGAATTTTAGGTATGTGTTGTTTAAAATAATTGTACTTATAAATAGAGAACACTTCCACAATCATGTAAGCTAACAAAATACTATTGATAAGATCACAGGACGCATTGCCCTAGTACTACATTTTGTTAACTTACTGACATACAATAGAGGCATTTTACAGAGTCACAGTCTTTGAAGGAGAACAGACCCCCTCGCAAACAGACATGGAAGCAAAGAATAGAAGACAGCATCTTAAGAATGCGACTTCAGGGACACGTGGGTGGTTCAGTTGGTTAAGCCTCCAACTTCAGCTCAGGTAATGATCTCACAGTTCCTGCATTCGAGCCCCACATCAGGCTCTGTACTGACAGCTAGCTCAGAGCCTGAAGCCTGCTTCAGAGTCTGTATCTCCCTCTCTCTCTGACCCTCCCCTTTTCTCGCTGTCTCTCTCTCTCTCTCAGAAATAATTTGTTTTAAAGTTAAAAAATTAAAAAAGAAAAAAAAAGAATGCAACTTCATTCTCCAACAGTCCTTGAATGCCTCTCCACCCAGACACCCTAATTGTAATTCTTGCCCTTAAAAATCCTCACTTGTTAGCCAGGGGGCAATTTGAGGACTTAAGCATTAGCTCCCTGTTCTCCTGGGTGACAACACACCAACACACCTATGTGTTGGGGGTTATGCTGAGCGAAATAGCCTATCTTTCTTCAATGCAACAGCTGGGTGTTCTTTTCTTTACTGGCTTCCAGTGCATCAGGTGGACAAACAACTCTTTAGTTCAGTTATACTTCTTTTATAAACCCAGGCTTTACAAGACCAGAGGTGTGGTTTCAAAAGCAGTTCAAAGACCACCAAT